GTGCCCAGCCCCCCTCAGTCCCCCATGCAGACATTGGAGCCACTCTGTACCTCCTCCCACTGCCTGCCTTGCCTGAGAGCTTCCATACTACGGCTCCCTCCAAGAGCCTGCAGCATTCCTAATCCATCCCCTCCATCTCTGTCTGCCTCTCCCTGTCACTGACTGAGGCCTCATGCGCTGAACACAAGCCTGGTTTTTAGTGATTGCTGTTCCCAGAACTCAGCAGGCTGAAGGGGGTGGAAGGGTGATAAACATCAGAGTTCAACATCCAGACAAACACAGCAGAGCTCACACAATAAATACATCCGCCCCCAAATGCAAATACATCAGGAGAGATTCCTTCCCCGGGGCTCAGAGCAGGCTCAGGCAGGAGAGCAGCAGGATGAGGTAAGTGTAGTCACAGGGACCTCCACAGCTCCTCTACCCACTTGGCTTTGTGTGGGCCTTGGAAAGCATGAGTGTGATTCTGTTCTTGTTTAGCTGTTCCTACAGTCTCACTTCAGTGATACCTCCTGCTTTCTTCCCTTATTAAATGAGAAGGGTGTTGGGCATGAAGATTTCAGCTGGCACCAAGATACCTGATTTGGTGTTGAGACTGGCAGCTCGGATGTGTGGCTTTTGATGTATGATGTGAGTTGATGCTCACTCTTTCTCTGTTCATTTCTGTTCCTTTGACACAGGCTGTTTGTCTTTCTAGCTGTGCTTTACAGCGGAGCAAGCAGCAGCATTGTGCTGCAGAAAATGTACGGGAGGATCACGTCCCCCAACTTCCCAAATGTCTACCCAAATCACAAGGAGAGAATCTGGAATATTACTGTTCCCAAGGGGTATTCTGTCCGCATCTACTTCACCCATTTCAACGTGGAGCTGTCCTACCTGTGTGAATATGATTATGTGAAGGTACGCGTAGGGCAGGGTGATGTGTAGCAGGCTAAGTTGTTAAAAACTCTGCATATGTGATCCTGGACACATGCAGGACCAACAGAACTGGTGTAAGCTCTTGATTCTAGACAGCTAGTAAAGTTTAGGCTCAGCTGATTTCTAAATGATGTGTTTATTGAGGCCCATGGGACCAGGAAGTAGAACTGGTTGTCATGTTGAAATGTTTGAAACTTGAGTAGTTTGTGCTCAGGGAATTCTGATGTTCCCCTCTCATGAAGCAAAAGAGTTGAAATCTTGCCCGAAACAACATTTGAGCTTCATCTTGCTGAAGTTACAGTGTGTGTTTTAAATTAACAAGTAGTGCTTTACACAGAGGATAATGGGAGACTGTAAAAGTGGAAGCGATAGTCTAAACAAGATAACTGTCAGCTTGTCTAAACGTGCACTTGCCACACTTGCTGTGGTGTGTTTGCTAGCTGATGTGAGAAACAACCTCAGGAAAAGAAGCAAAGATACTTCCTCTGGGAAGTGTTTGAGTGATCAGTGGTGTCCCTGAAAGGTTTGTACTCCATGTGCTGGCATGTGCTCTAGTGCAGGCAGCCCTTGTGCTGACTTGAGGCCATGCTACCTCTCTAGTCCTTCTGGTGTTTGCATGGGCCTGATAACATGTTACAGAGAGAGCTGTTACACAGGAGTATGCAAAACCAGTGCCTCAGCAGTGCTTTTGAATGTGATGGAATCAAATCAGGCAGCCTTGGTCAGATTTAGGAAGTTGTCATTTCAGTGGGTTTGTACAGCAAGTTGGTCTCATTCCCCAAATCAGTGTTGTTCTTCATGTCCTTTGGGTAGGACAGAGTACTCATTTCTGGTAGGTGTATAGTATGCAGTTCTAGTGCTACCATGTGCAACATGAACCCCATGTACAGAACATTTCTCTTGTATTGAAAACACAAGATAAATGAAGAGCTGGAACTGTAGTAAGTGAATCGTAGAGCAAGCGAGTAACTAGTTTAAAGAGACCCTTTACTATACATTTGAGTTTGTTAGTGTGTGAAACCTTTTTACCCCCATTGTCCCTGGCTTTACCAAGATCTGATTGTCCCTCAGAGTGCCAAATTAGCAAAAGGATTATAAACAAAGCATGGTTTTTAAACATTTAAACAAAGCAAAGCCCAGGCTGCATCACAACTTTATGTGCACCTCTGAAAGGGAAAAGGGAAACAAAATTACGGGCTTCAATCACAGAGGCTAGGGGAAATCTTCTCTTAACTGCCTCTGGATCTGGACTGACCTCCAGGAGCACCTTTTGAGAGCATCCAAGCCTCCTTCCTCACACCATTAAATACATGCTTTCCAAGCTATGGCAGCAGGTTGGGAAGAGCAAAGCTCTGTGCTCATGTCATAGGTTTGTCTGCCCATTTTGCAGCTGAGCTCTGGTGGGAGGACCTTGGCCACGCTGTGTGGGAAGGATAGCACAGACACTGAGGAGGCTCCGGGCAACAAGACCTACAACTCCGTTGACAACAACCTCATGGTAGTGTTTCGGTCTGACTACTCCAATGAGAAACCGTTCACAGGCTTCGAGGCCTTTTATGCTGCTGAAGGTAGGAGTCCAGCCCCTCATGCAGGTCGAAGAGACATGGCTATGGTGGGGTTGGTGCTTCCCAGTTCTCTCACAGAATGTGGCTGCTGGTGTTAGGTGAGAGAAGGCAGCAGATGCAAAAGGGTGCATCAACCAAAGGCAAACAAACCAACCTCAAAAAACAGAGTAGCTCAGAGCAAGACAAAGTGGTGTTGAAGGGTGTTGGTTGCCTAATTCTGTGCTTCACCCATTAGATATCAATGAGTGCCAAGAGCTGTCTGATGGTGAACCCCTCTGCAATCATCACTGCCACAACTATGTGGGGGGCTACTATTGCAGTTGTCGGGTTGGCTACACACTGCATGAAAACAAGAGGACATGCACAGGTGAGCTCTTGCTAGATCAGGAGATGCTTCCCTACCTACAACAGCCACTTACATCCAGTCCTGACTGTCAGATCCACTGATGCAGGGGATCTGACACTAGCATTGAGATGAAATGCTCGTTCTTTTCAGTATTCCTTACGGGTCTCCTGCAGGGGGTTAGTCAGGGCTGTGAACAGAGGCCCTGGTGTGCAGAGTGGCTGTGAGCTAATTGCTGCTGTTAGGGATAACAGTACTGTGTCACCTGGCAGTGGGGTTTGGTTGCTTTATAGGCAGCATCCATCTTTGTTCAACTTTAGACAGATTAAATGGAGAAGCAAGAAACTTCTCCTACACTTCCCACCACTTCCAATCTCTATGACTGCCAGTGCAGCCAGCTTTGCAAAACTGAGTGCATCTTGCTCCCTGGGTACTGAGATACTGAGTATTCTGGACCTGGGTTAGTAGATATGTTGGAAAAACTAACAATTGAGTTGCGAAGTCTAATGGAGAAGTAGTTTGCTTATTCTCTCTGGAAGGACACAGGCCAAGAAGCAGAACAGTCCACAGACCACTGACACCAGTGATCCACTCATTAAACAGGAGGCAAGGGCAGGCACAGATCTGTTCAGAAGGGTGTACAGTGTGAGGTTTGCCTGGCTGAGGTTTGCCTGGCTGACTCCTGCCTGGCTCTACTGCTCAGGCCACAAGTAGGGAAAGCACATGTGTGGTTAGGCACTGAAGTGTTGTCTGGAGCAGTGCAGTGATTAGCACCTCAGGATTCACTTTGTGGTGAAACAGGGGCACGTGGTGTCAGATTCATCCTTTGTGGGTGCAGCTCTGCCCACCTGGCACTGAATCCTGGCTGGAAAGAACCAGCACACATACTGGTCGCTAAATATTGGCATAGGTGGGAAGATACTTTCCCCAGTGCTGAAATGCAGAATTGGATCTAACTTCCAGTGCTTACGGCTGGCTGGGCATTTACCTTCCCATCTCCAGCCTATTACAAACTCGCTTCAGACACGGCTGCCTGGGTCTGATTCAAGATTCAAACTCCTCATATCTCCAGTGTATTGGAACAGACCTGTTCATTCAACCTCCCCTTCCTAAAGTGGTGGCTTTTAGCACGAGTGTGTGTATTTGCGTCCACTGTAAAGCTTGTGCCTGGTCTTAATGTGAAGGTGCAAAATGAAGAGCTGTGAACTAGCAGGCGGTGGGAGCTTTGTGTTGCCCATTCATGCGTGCACACTTAAGCCCCCTCCTCGCACGCTAGCAGAGGGAGCTTAGCAGCAGTATCCTGGTGGGTGGAGGTGTACACACTGGGAATTACTGTGGCGCAGCTGATGTGCCAGAAGCTGTTCACATTGTAGAGGTCTTTAGGTGCAAGCCACTGGGCTGGGCTGCAAAGCAAAGGTCTCTGTGGATCGCCTTCATGAGGGCAAAGGCTGCCCCTTTGATTGTTGGGCTCTTGTCTGAGCAGGCTGATATTGACAGGCTCTTTCTTTCTCCTTTATTTTCCAGCATGAGATAATTAAAGCTTCTCCTCGCTTAGGCAGAGATGGAGACAGATGTGCTGGGAAGAGCTGGTTTGCCCTCCCTCCTGACCTGCCTGTTGCAGTCTGCCCAAGGGCTGCAGGCTTCTCTTGCTGGTGACTTGTATGTCTTGGTTCCTTGCCTTTCAGACCTGCCTCCTGCAGACAATAAAGAGGCTGTTCCTTGTTGAAAGCTGATGGCAACCTCTAGGACATTCATTTTCTTGCAATTTCCCATGTGTCACTAAGGAAGAAAGAAGGTAGATAAGGCAGGAACTGATAAGAGAGAAGCCATTGTGAAAGTCCCTGGAGCATACCTGAAAACTCTTGAATTTCTTTTCCAGCTCTTGTTGCTTGACCTTCCATAGTTTTTAAACTATAACAAGACCAGAACTGCACATATGTTCCTTTTTGATTTGCTTTTGTGTGCACCCAGACTTGGAAACTGAAACTATTTCTGTTCAGAGCCCATTCATTCTCTGGAAAGGTTTGGATTTGGGGGGTTTTTTTGATCCACATATTGTGACTCTGGCTGTTTCACCTATTGGGAACCTGAAATGTGTTCTGGTGAGCAAAGCCTCGGAGTTCCAGGTGTTTGGTGAATTAATATGAATGTCACCAGGGCAGCTTAGGTGTATTGCCTTCATTCAAGGCAACAGTGCTCTCCACACAATAGGTGCAGCACAAGGAATGCTCTTCCTCAGCACACATGCTTGTGGCATCCACTGTATGTCTCAGTCTCTCACAGTGCCTCTCACTGCTCCACATTAATACCCATTTGTTGTCCTTTCAGACTGTACCCTCTTTGGGCAGGGACCATCTTCTTAAACATGTTGGAGTAGTGCCATGCTCTGTATTTGTCAGTGATTAAAGCTCCCCAGCTCCGTGGAGGAAACAAGAAGTGAACAAGTCAGAGCTAAGCAGCTGTTGGTGAACTGCTGAAGATAAACCAAGGCTTTGTTTAAAAAGCTGGAGGGATGAAGGTGCATCAGTCCAGCAGCATTTCCTCACTGCAGCACTTTAGCAGGAGATGCTGTGAGTTAATAGTTTAGGAGGCTCAGTTTCTCCAACCCCATCTCCTCTTTAGTTCTAAAGAGGGGAGCAACCCTTTACCAAGGGATGATGGGAAGGGATGGAGAGTCTTTTAGGTGAGACACTTGACTCATTGCAGGTCCCTGCATTTGCAGACTTACGGTTATCTTGGGCAAGTCACTTGATACCAGCTTTGAACACACATCAGCAAAGTGAGAGGTACTGGGCTTACTGTGGTTGTAGAAGGTAAATGCTGCAGAGAACTGATCTGGGGTAGCGTGGCTGTGCAGGCAGTTACCAGAGCTTGCTTGTGCTGCTTTTAATCTGGATCAGGAGCTTCTTCATGGTTGCAGTTAATTGTGATCAAAGCAGCTTGAAATCTTGGCATGGCTGGGTGGTACAATTTATGACCCACCTTTCACTGGAGACCTAATGACCCACTGACGATGGACTTGCAGGTTTGGAGGGGGTCATTTGTCAGAGTTCAAGCCTCTGGCAAACAGCTCACTGTGATTTTAATAAAAATATGACCTAAGCATAATTGAGCACTCTCTGGGCAGCTCTAATGCGTGGACTGAGCAGTCAAGGGACAGCATCTCTGCTGGCAGATGTTAAAAACCCATTTCATCCTTTTTGTGCTGGCTGGTTTATGACTTTCTTGCTTGCAGACTTATGGGAAAAAATACTGCCCTGACAAAGGGAACTCCCAGTGGCCACATCCAGGTATTAGGGAAAAAGTAAGGTCCAGTCTAAGTGTTTTCATCCTGAAGCTGCAAATTCCCTTGGACTAACAGAGTGTCTTCTGTTGGGTCAGCCACTTTTGGCTACTCATGTGAGCACAAGTCAGGAGAGTTTATTTGGGATGACTCACATCTTTCCTAACTGTGTTATGAAAATCTCACCTCAAAATTAGGAATGAACATGCGATGAAGCAGGAGGAACTATTGGGCTCTGTCTTTCTCCTTCAGTCCTTCAAAACAATGTGAAGGCCAGCTTTCTGAATGACTGGGGTAGTAATGGGGCACTTTCTTATTTGAATAGCAACCTATGGGGATCTGAGCTCTGTGCAGTTCTGGAATATGCGTTGTTAGAATGGATCTGGGCTGAGAATCCCTCAAGTCCAAGCTCCTGTCTCTGATGCTGGCCAGCATCTTATGCTTCAGTGGATGATACAGTTCAGTAAGTGATTTAAAAGTATACTCAGCCAGCAGCATAATCCTGCACAGTGGCTCCTCTGTTGTCTGTGTGCTGCTTAAGATGGATTTATGGCAGCAGGGTATAAAAGTTTGCCTTAAATCCTGTGTGATAGCACGTTGCACAGATTAGTTCTATGCTATTTCTTACTCCTGGTTTTGTATCCAATTTGTGGGTTTCAGCCTTTAATTTCATCATGTGTCCCTTTGCCCTTTTGGTACTAGAGAAAGCAAACAGCCTTCAGAAACCATAGTGATTGGTTATATGCAGTGTTCTTGTGTCTCAGGCATGTGTGCATGTATGTGTGTGTTAGCACACAGAGGTCTTTTCTCCACTATTCCTGTTACATGTTTCTATGTTGAGCTGTAGTCTAAAACCAGGCCTTGAAACATACTTTAAGGAAAAGAGATAACATCATTAGAGTGAATAGGAGCCAAGGTGTTGCTGCTTCCAACTATGAAGTTCTTGTAAGAGAGAATTTAACCTCACTGACCTGAGTGTTCCTTCTTTCACATGCCCAGGGAAAAGATGGTTTTGTGGGTAATAGGGGAGGATTCTGATGCAGAACTAGCGGAAGATGTGAAATTCTGACTTCCTAATGATTCCAGCAGGGAGTTAGGGGTGTAAAGATAGTACTCATTATATCGTGGCTTTTATGCTTAGGGTAAGGCTTCCCACTGAGCCTTTTTTTCACACCCAAGGGTTTCACGGTTTCTTTTCTATCTCTTCCTATAATTGCCTCCAGACTGCTCCTGTAGGGGCTGTGGAGCTGGGACAGATACTAGCAGCATGAGGAAATGTCAGCTTTTAAGTGAAGGAGCTATTTTGCACTTCCATGGCACTGAGCAGTACTCTGCTAAAGCTGCGTATCTTTATGGGTTTGGGATGTTCCTTAGCCAGGGCTTGCAGTGGGTGGGCAGAAGCATTGTAGTGGGACCTTAGAAAGCCTGGGGAGAGGCAGTGAGCTCTGTGTCACTGACAGGGTTTAAAGCAGCACCTGCAGCAGCCCAGGAGAGTGTGCTGGAAAATATGCTTCGTTCTTACATAGCCATCAAATGGTGCTGTAGTTTGAGGCACAATCAGTGGAATTACAGAAACGTGCATGTAGCTGGGGAGAATGAGGTAATAACAGTTATGGAAAAAACCCACTTGCTGGGAATGCTCTACAAGTACAGAGTGGAAGGGGATTCACTTCCCGTTGTAGCTCAGCTGATTTCTGCTGGTACAGAGCGATGCTGTTAGGGTAGTCAGAGGCAGCCAGAAGCTCCAGGTGAATTAGTCAGGCTTGCTTCACTTCTTTGCACCGAGAGATGCATTTCAAACAGGGTTTAAAAATTAGGCGAGTGCTCAGTTTCAGCAGACGAGGCATTTCTAGGTGGTTTTAGTAACTGTGTTACCCCATGTGTTTGTCAGCTTTGTGTAAAAGCCTCAGAGAATGCATCCAGAGTGGAACACACAGAGGTGCTCAGTCACTGTGGTGATGGGTGGGTTGTGTCAATAAGAGCAGCTGCTCAAAACTTCCTGGGAAGATGGACAGAAAGATTGTTCTGAAATTACAGCCTGTGCTAAAAGAAACCCGTGGTAACCCAGAGCATCATTGCTTGTGTTGTGGTACTGGACTTGTGCTGAGAGCCACACAAACCTGAAACACAAAGATTATCCTTTCACCCGTTCCTCCCCATCCTGCTTTCCTTTCCAAGTAAATGCTTGTATCCAAATACTTCCTGTAGCAGGAGGCAGGGCTGTTTCATAGGTATAGGGTGGAAGCAAGTTTCATTCTCTGAAGGAAAAGTCTTGGCTAATGAAGTCCAGGGTCAGTTAAGGGACAATAATGTTCATTTTCTCATTCACGACTTGGTCCCTTTCCACTGAAATGGCAGCCTGAGACTGTATGGTCTGGTTTAGGTGGTAATCTGTAATTAATGACTGGATAATGGCATTTTTATTTGTAATGGTGTGTTTGAGGCTACAATTCAAAGTCAAACGATTTCCCTCTTACAATTAATTCAGGGTTACAGAGGTACAAAACTAAGTGGGTGTTATCAGCGAGTCCAGCATTCCTCATCAGCTAAAGGATTGCTCCTACAGCTTTTGCAGCACATCATAAAGCCTTTGTTCCCAGCTGATCAAAGCACCACTTCACAGTGATCAGATGCTGTCAACAAGCAGAGATCCTCGGGGCACTTGTGGCTGTTCCTTCTTGCTTCTCTTCAGCAGGGAGCATTTGTGGCTCCAATTGTGTTGGCAAGAGGCACAGCTGGTTTTGCTCAGAGAATACAATTACAGTCTAAATGTCTGGCAACAAAGGCACTAAAAAGAAAGAGCTGCATTCAGAGGCTCCTGGAATTGAGGAGCTGACAGCTATCCCACCGCTCTGCACTCTGATACGGCAGACAGGCTGCAAATGGAACACCTCAGAGTGTTCCTGATGAGCTTCCAGCTATCACACTCCTTTCTGACCTCCTGCCCTGGACTGTGCTAAGTGGTGCTTTCCCAGTGTCCTTCTCCACACCGCTCCTGAGGCAGGAGTGTGGATAATACTGCTGCCCTGGTCCTACCACCACAGAAGGAGACACAGAGAAAGCAGTTTTCTCAGCAGTGACAAATGTCCCCTGGCGAAATGTATGAGAGGAGCTTCATTCCGTAGGTAGGTAGATATGTAGCTCTGAAAGCTTCTTGAAAAGGTAGACTAGTGTAGAAAAAGATCCACTACCTTTACCCAGTGCAGTTGAACTGAATTAATTGTTCTGATCATCATTTTCTGTTGGTTTGGGTTTTTTCCCCTCCCAGCCCACTGCCAGAGTCAGGTTTTTACTGAAGGAACTGGAGAAATCACCAGCCCCGACTATCCAACACCTTATCCCTGCTCAGCTCCTGCAGCTACAGTATCCAGGTAGAAGATGGCTTCCTGATCACACTGGGATTCATGGAGACCTTTAATGTGGAGACACACCCAGGAGT